TTAATCATGTGACTATGGAGATGGTGCAGTGGTGGTATGTGCAAGGACCAGTTGTAAGTCGCTTTTCTCAATGCTATCGTAACTTCAAATGGTTGTTACAAATGGTTGTAAGTCGACGTTTACCTGTAGTCAATTTGATTTCTGTAAACTCTTATCGGGCGATGTCTACATAGATGCATGTTTTTTTGTTTGCTGCAAAACTGTTAGCAGTGAAGAAATAGCAGTGAATAAATAATTAGATGGGCAGAAACAGGTACAGGATAATTGGGATTGGAAATTCTATTAAGCAATGCAGAGGTAAGTTGAAAAACCCTATGACTGTGCCATTCAGCAACAGCAGTTAGTTGGTGACATTAAGTGATGACAGTGCGATTCACTAATCAATGACCTAACATCACCATGACTTCCAACTTCCTGTCAGCTTTTTCACTGACTGTTGGGAATCTGACAGGAAGGTCATGCAGGGATGGTCAAGAGTACAAGATCCAGTCATCACTACTGCTTGTTCAGTGCCATTGTTAAGTTCAAATAGTTGCTGAAGGAATGATCACTAAACGAGGGACTATCTGTAAGCCATTCTGCTTCCTTTCTGTTTCCTAGGCTATATAGCACAGTTATGTCTCTCCACCTTCATTCCAACAATTACAAGAGACCTGTCCATACTGAGCCAACTTCAACAGAACTGCAAAGTCCCTTTCCAGTTTAAGGTTTCACATTAAACCAGTAGTAGACCAAGAGGCCCTTAAGAGGCCCAAGATGCATGTTCAAAATTATGATGTTTGTACATAAAGGGCTCTTACACTTCCTGCCCCCAGCCTCTGTATGTAGTTCTCAGGGATTTATTTATTTTTCTCAGATTTTAATTATCTTCTTTTAGAGCATTAAGTAACTTTATGAATAAATCAGATCAACATCCCTGATACCCAAAGTAAAAGATTATTGATCAACAGTAGTGCATATATGGTTTCCAGTTCTCATGCACATTGGGATATTCAGGTGGCATTAAAAATGTAGAATTTACTCTATTGGGAAGCCTAATTGGCATTCGCTTGCAGGTCTGATACATAGTATTTCTTTGGCATGTGAAATATTTACCAGAATGATGAATTTTTGTCACTATATGGTACTGCACAGCTTTTTGTGGGCATATAATCAGAGATGTTAAGTTCAATAGGGACATCTCTCTATGTTTTTTCCCTCATTGCACCAGCACCACATGAAAAAGGTACAGACACTGAGAATCTCTTTGCAGTTTTTTGCCTTTTTGGGAAACAGCTGGGGAATATGATCTGTATGTAATCTAAATGTTTCAAACACCCATGATGGAAAGCTGCCACTGTTTATGCTATTTATCAAATTGGCATCCATGGAAGTTTACACTTAGCAGTTTTGATCGTGCAAAGGTTGATTAAACTCATAGATCAATGCCCTATTGACAGATTTTATATGAAAGAAAGTGTCACAGAATACAGACAAGAGGTGAAGTGTAAGTAATGCAAGAAGCAGCAAGTTTGATTTAAGCAACATGAGATGCCCATCAAGCAATTTTCTAGATTTCTCTATTTCTTCTCTATTAAACTACCCTTTCCAAATCTGGTCCTCTGCAGATATATTGGACTAAAACTATCATCCCGATAGGTTGGCAAAGGCTGTTCTAAACTATCATTGCCCTGCAAGAATGCAATAAATGCAGCCCCACAAATAAATAAGGAACACTTAATGGAGGAGCATCTGCTGCTGTGCAGTCTTTTACTATTTTGCCCTTCTCTTGATCAGTTCTACAGCAGAGTACACAATACTTAATATATTAAAGGAAAAATCAATTTCTGTGTTTTAAACCACAGGGGCAGAAGACAACATATGGCCTTCCAGAGTTTTGTGCTCCATTTCCTTTCAGCACTTGTCAGCACCATTTTGGACTGTGAACACTGGAATTCAACCATATACAGAAACCCACGTATTAAATCCAATAAATGAGTGGGCTGTCTTCCCCAACACAGACATTATATTTGATTCAAGGGAGGGCAATTTTTTCTTTCCCCTGAGGTCATCACTTTCAGATCACTTTGTAAACAGGTCTGAAAGAAGCAGTGTGAGATATCAATCCTCTGGGTTTGGGTGATTTTTTTTTTGTTTTTTTTTGGGGGGGGGATCCTCTCTCTTCCCTCTCCCTAACATTAGGTTGTGAGAACAGAACAAATAGCCATGAAACCTTTTTTAGTAAAGATTTTTAAAGATGGGTCATCCCTGCATTAGTGACTTCTCCCACTGAATAGCAGTGCATCGATCTATGTGCCATATACGTACAATTCAGTTCCTTCTAGGAACACAGATTTCCTGTATCTTTGGTGCTGTTCAAAATTTATCTTCATTGATTTTCTGAGATTTAATATTGTTAACTCAGGTTGGTAACATTGATGTCTAAAAGGAAAGAGGTCTAACTCCAGGTATACATCAAATAATAGGGTTATACAGTTGAGCAATTCAATCTAAGCTAAATTTTAGCTCTGGGCTGCCTTGTGCCTTTAACATTTAGAGCAATAGTAAGTGAAATTATTCTTGCCATAGAGATGAAGAGATGGAAATACTCAACGTCCTTGAATGTTATGCAGCTCTTAGAGAACTTTTCAGATAGTACTAAACTACAATACCCAACCACTCCGATTATTATTATGGGGCTGATAGAAATTAAGTGTCTGAATATCTGAAAAACCAATATATTTCACCTTGTCTTAAAACTACTGTCATATGTCAAGGAGGAAACACAATCAGTTTCTTCCTATCCAGTATCTGAAGGCAAAGCTTTCACATCATAATTCCTGATAGTTGTTTTAGCTTTTTTCCTTTAAATAAGCATTCTGCACAAAATATGAATTGGAAGGATTATGCAGGGATGCACAGTATAACATTCAGTGCTCTGTTCAAGGCAGGAAAGTACTGTATCCCCAAGAAGTGATTATCCAGCTTTTGCTTGAAAATCTATGATGAGGAAGAACTGATCTGCCCCAGGATTCATTTTAGTGATGTTCTTACTATCAGCAGCTATCTTTGCAAGACAAGCTTTTCAAGAGTTACTTAACCAGTCAACAACATTGGTTGTGACTGTACAATGCTGAAGCATAAACTAATCACATTGCTTGGGCTGCCTTCAACTCACTAAAATAAAACATGGTTGGCTAGTTTGTGTATGCCCAATATTACTGGATTTGTAATTATTCCAAAGTTGATTGGAATCACTGTCTACCACCATGTGCATTGTGTAACATCTAAACCAATCACAATATGATTTTTCCCAAACTGTATTTTCATCCAGTCAAAAACTATACTTGTTGAAACTGACATAGTGGACTAGTATTGAAGAAACTTGTCTTCAAGCTTCAGTTCAACTATGTGGCCAATTGGGTGATTTGGGCTCCATTAGTATCTCTCAACATAGCCTAGCTCACCAAGTTGTGAGGATAAAAGGGAAAATAGATAAATAGGAATACCATGAGTTTTTAAGACGAATAAAGGCAGATAAATCTAAGCCATAACATTAATGTGACAGCATCACAACTATAGCTTATGCATGAATAGAATATCTCTCCCTTAGAAGGATAAATTTTACCTCAATTTTAGACCTAAGCAGTGGGTACAAATAACAGCAATTAGTTTCACAGCTAGGATGTGACTTAGTTCAGAATGTTTTGAGTTTTATTTGTATATATTGTAGTTCTTACTCATAGATGTCAACTACTTAGTGGTGGGAAATACCTCTGCCAATAAAATAAGAAGTGTGGGAAGGGAAAACAAATCTAATATTCACTGTGCATTTCTGAATTACATCCATTAGCAGTTCCTTCCATAGTGCTAATAGAGACTCAGTGGAGAAAGCTGTTCAAGCTAGTCATGGTCTAACAGCCAGATCTTTTAACAGGGTACTTACTTTACATTATGTCAGAGTTTGCTTAACATAGTTAATAAAACCACTAAGCGATAAACCAGGGTTTACAAGCAAAAAAGCTGCCAAATATCTATCCACACCACCAATACAGTATGGTATAGTCTGATGTGTGAATGAGACCAACATTAAAGGCATCATTATCCAAATTCCATCCCAAGGAAAGGAGTTACCATCTAGTCCCCTGTGCTGATCTTTTGCAGAATGACTGAACTATTCTCAAACAAGCAGGGAGAGGCTCAGATTTTCATAAAGCTTCAATACTTCTGCTTGATCCAGATGTTTCTCTCTGTTCAGGGATTGTTGTAGAATAAAACAAGCACCTTCTCAGGAGTGTTTGCTTGGTTGCAGCTCTTTTTGCTTTCAGGAGTGCTCCTCCCCTAATTTCTCTGAGAGTTGAAGCTCCCTGTACTCTGCTTTCTTTGGATTGCACCCTCAAAAGGGAGAAACGCCCAGAGAGAGGGAGGCAGTTGCTAAGGGATGGGCTGCAACTGCCACAGGGAGATCTGTAAGGGCTTTGTAGGGAATGACACCCACAGTCCCTTCATGGGCCTGCTGCCATGGAGACAAAGCCTCTGTCTATGTACAAAGAAAGTGATGTTTGGACTGCTGCCCCCATTAGCAAACAGGAGAATGCCTGGGGCAGCTATGCTTTCTGTCTCTTGAAGAATCATTTCTTCTGAGCCTTTTCGTCCTTTCCATCTCCCAATTCTCCCTCTCCTAAGAAACAGGGAAACCCCTTTGCTCTGGACCGTGAGTATTTTTTGGCTTATACTCAAAATACAAGGAATAGGAGGAAAGGAAGAAATTGTTCACATAAATGTGCTGTTTATTTAATTTATTTATGTACATCACTTAGACTCCACCCACTTCAACAAAGTCTACGTGGCTAGAGTTGATGAAGCAGCACCAGCAGCTGTACATAAATCACTGTAGACAGTAAAACAGCAATGGTTTGATAAATCAGCACTTCTCCAAATTTTGGCCATAATACCAATACAACCAAAGACACATCCTTTCTTATTTCCATGTAGCCTTCACATAAAAGTATATCAGAATATTTTTTTTGACTCAACCATTTTTATTTGCATCAGTGGTAGCGATGATGCTGGACTGTAATTCCCATCTCTGCAACAACAAAGCTACTAGGGCCGGTGGGAATAACAGCCCCTCCAGTTTAAAAAAAAAACTCAGGACGCTACATATATGAAAGCTAACGTATAATTGTTACCAACATGTGCTGGAAATATTTCAAGTGACTGAAGCCAGACTGAACAATTATGACACAGATACAGAGTGAGAGGAGGCTGCTGTCTTGATTCATGACTCTTGATCCAAGCCTTACCAGGATGGTTGAAGGGTGTGCAGCCAAAGCACTAGTGTGACCTGAATATCTAGCAGTTTAACAGGGGAATGGATGGGAGCTCCTATTCATACTATCCTCTCCCTGCTGGCTTCCTCTGAGCAAGGGCCAAGCAAGAACAATGCTGGGCTTGTTGTCACAGCTCCTGGTTGGTCAGAACATTGGGGGTGGGGAATGGAGGGTAGAAAAAAGAGACCAACCAAGCCTTCCTGGAATACTGCAGACTGGGGGAGGGCAAGCATTTCAAAGAAGTTGAAATCAGGAAGGATAAACTTCATTCAATTCAACCTCCCCGTCTCCCTCCCCCCAAAAGCATGCAAATACACAGGGCAGCTATTTCCAAGATGATCGCTCAGACTTGTTACTGTTGGAATAAAAAGAATCTCGAATGATCCTAGTATACAAGGGTGAGATGGCAGAAACAGTTCCATGATTTGCATAGCTGCTGACATAAGATTTAAAAAAGCAGTCATATTCCTGTAATTCACAAGATGTGGGAGGTACTGTCATTTTGCCCTGATCTCTACAGTGCATAAGGGTAAGAAGACAGCAGCAGTTTTAACTATGGCCCTGTATGGAAGACATGAGCAGTTGCTGCGTGAAGATTATAACAAGACCAAGAGTAGAAAAGAGTTCCATAATCAAGGTGTCATCACTGAAAGGGAAACTGTTTCTACTGGCAGTCCTACAGTTCAATTTATAGATCACTACAAGAGGACATGAACTAGAATATTCATAGGTGATATGAGAAGGCAGTTAATTCTGACTACTATATAGATAGAATTTATAGTCAAATGTATCCCATAATCCATCGTAGAAAGCAGGGTTTCCATGGCAAGTTGTAGGGGTTTCCTCAACAACACAAGCCAATTAGGAGATTCTTTGGAGATTTAACTTAAAAATGCAAACAGATAATGCACTGGGATTTTCAGTGGCTATTCAGTGGCATACTAGACTGGGGGATTAATCCAAATTCAAAGCAGCTAATCATGCTCAATTCAAATCAAAATTTACTTACAGCCCAAGAGGAAACATGCCAATCATGCTGACAGAGGATCTACAGAAATCCAAAACAACTGGAAAGCATTATGTTGGGGGGGGGGGAGAGAACAGAGCTAGGATATATTTTTTATTTACATAAAAACTCCCATAACACTAGCTGGGGTAATAGTTTTAGCACTTGCTCAGACCATTCCTCTTTGTATTCCAGAGATATCCAATTAGTTATACAATATAGCTTCTTGGATTGATCCTGAACTAGATTCTAAAATGCTGAAGTTATCATGGATCAGAAATTGAAAAATAAAATATCTTTAAACTAAAGTCAAAATATAAAGTTTTATTAGAGTGTTCCAGTCAGTTTTGTATAAGAGAAAAGTTATGTTATATTCTAGAAATAGAGCTACACTATTGTGTTGTCTAAAGGAACACAAACAAATTTCTGGCAAAATGGCAAAAACATCTAAGATAACAGCAATGCCTGATCACCAAGTAAGAAGCCATTTATTAATTGGCTCAAATATTCTCTTGCTGTCTCTGCTAAACATCTGTTTCTTAACATCAGATTTATCCCCCTTATTGGCCTACTATTTCCATGGTCATTGAGAAAGTTAGCTGAGAATAATGGGAATCATAGTCTGATCGACCTGAAGAATATTCTGTTGCAGAAGTCTCACTGAAGTATCCCAAAAAGAAGAGCCTCACATCTTTATCAGAAGAGGCTTAGCTTGGTTCCTTCCTAACCTTTCTAGAATGACACTTGTAACATTTGTAACACACTCCTTTATTTATTATTGTGGTCTCTGTTTTCAAGACAATGGAGGGTTTTTTGCTCTTCCGCAATAGGAAAAAACCCTCAGAAGAATAAAGTCTTCGGATACAGCATAGAAAAGGAAGTATGGACAAACCACCTGAAGAAAAAAGGTAACAGTGCAACCACCACCAACATAAAATTGTTAATTTATTGTTATTTTGAGCCAAAAAAGTACTGTTACAAGATTTGTTTTCCAGAGGTCAAAGTGTGAGCCAAAAATGTATTTTAAAAAAGGAATAAATGACACTATACAATTGATTAAATTAAAAAAGTAAAATGCTTTCATGTGCAGTTCTGTGAAAATGAGGAGAAGAGAAAAAATGAAATTAGAAAACACCCTCCCCTCTTGAGGGAAGCAGCTCGTGGCAGGATGGGCCCTGCGACTTTACACCTGTCCTTAGCTTACATGGGACAGAAAGAGATATAGCCACCCACCAGCATCAACTATCTTTATAAGGAACAGTATTAGCTTATCGCATCTTGAAATATTTTTCATAGCTTTACTTCCTGAACTTTTCTGCAGCTGCTTTTAAGTCCTAGAGTGAGTCGAGAAGAGATATAGGAGCAGTAGCTTAGTCTGACCTCCCTTAGCCAGGAATATCATGGCCTTTGCCAGAAACCCAAGCACGCTATAATCCAAGGGATTTCTTACACAAAACCCACAGAATGAAATTCCCTCTTCTACTCGATTATCCTAAACCTTCACCTCTAAGTTTGAGAAGCAAAGTTTCCATACCTCTGCGTGCACTGGTGGAAGGAGGAGGAGGGATATAAGCTTAAAGGACATCGAGAAAGAGTCCTGGCTCTTACAGCTTCATCTTGAGCTCTGAGCAAAGATAGCCTTTTCTACATACCTTTCCTGCTCTAGAATTCAATTAAGGTCTGCGCTTTGAGTGAACCATCCTATGAACTCTGTCTTGCTCAAAAGGCTTTTGAATGGAACCTTTGCATAAGTCATTCTGTTCCTCAAGAATCCACAAAGGTCTGAGGGAGGAGACAGTCTAAAACATGGACTCAGTGAATGCTGGCGATTCAAACTTAGTCATTTTGGCAGTGCACCAGAATTCTAGGTCCTCTGCATAGTTACAGGATGCATACTATTCACTGCTTACTTCCATTCAGGGAAATATCCTGATCCTTGCAAAGAAAGCTGCCTTACAGGTTTTCAAAGAGAGGGAATGCATCCAGCATATATCAGGTACACAGCAGCAGCAAGAGATGGTGCTCTGTATCTTCAAGTGCAAGGTGAATGAGATTTAAAGCTCAGATCGAAGAGCTGCGCCTCCTGCCTGCTAGAAAACAGCCAAACTGGCCACTGTTTCCAAGGATTTAGTGGCAAAGGGGGAAAAAACTTGCGTTGGCTCTTCCCTAAAGTCTTGCACAGACGATTAAATGTGAATACTGCTCTAGGAGGCTCTCCTGGGGATGCCTCCCCCCCCCATTAATCATGCCATATACAGAAGGACAAAAGAAGTGCGAAAGATGGAAGGAGAGAGTTATCTTGCAGGGAAAGTATCACCCAAAGTTATGCTCTGTACCCAGCCAGATCCCACTTGTTCTGTGGCTGCTTGTGACATCCCCAATACTGCATTTGTTACTTTCCCACCCCATCCATTAGCTGCTGCCCCCTTGACAGCTGACAGGCCCCATTTAGTAACAGTATAATTGCTTAAATTAAAAAATTAAAATATATATACATATATTTATATATATATATATACTGTACACACACTGACAACAACAGAACAGTGCCAAAATCAGAGTAAGGAGCAAAAGAGAGGAGGAGGCAGACAGTTTCTTTATAATAAAAACAGGAGTTCAATCTCAGCAGAAGAGGGTTCTGGTGTCCCCTAAAAATACCCATCTAGGGAAAAAGAAGTGGGCAAGAGGGATGGAAAGAGCAGGAGATGGGAAAAGAGAAAAGAGGAGGTGCGCCTGGCTTTTACAATTGCATCTTCCTGATCCAAAACTTGGACAAAGAGCTCTCAGCTTCGCCGGGACTTTGAATGCTGAATAAGCCACTGTAGGGTGATATCTGTGAAAGAGAAGGTAACAATTTATGATCATTGAGAAGGAAGATATGCTAAGCTTTTGTCTCCTTACCTGGAGGTAAAATAAAATGTGCAGATGTCTGCCCAGCTAAAAGTCAGATCTTTTCTCAAATGTTGGCTGATTCAATCTTGCAACCCAACAGAATTGATAGAGGACAAAGGGTGATGTGTCCAAACTCTTCCCACTTCCATCTATGAAATGAATGGAAACCCCAAAGGCATACAGAACCCTCGTAATAAAACTGACTATAGACTCAGCTGACTTAGCTGAACCTGTCCACATTATGGACAAAACCAGCAACTGGTTGCCTCCTCAAAAAAACTCTAAGATTTTGCTGCAGATTCAACCCTCATCAGAACCTTTTGAGTTGTTACATACCCTGACCTTTCAATCTTTCCCAGCCTTTTCTTTTCCAGCTTACCAATGTTGTCTTTTTCTTTGCAAGAGATTGAATAGCAACAGATCTCGCGGTCCTGGATGGCGGACAAGTTCCTGAAAGAGAAGTAACAGCACAAAAGATCAGAAGTCTTAAAAAAGAAAAAGACAACTCACACAAAAGAATCATTGCCAACCAAAAAGAGTGATAAAATGTGTCCCAGCAACCTGCAGCTTCAAAAATAATGAAAAGAGGATGAGTTCAGAACTTTTCCTTTTGAATGATGACCTCACTACTCATGAGATTCTGCCATCCTCATTTATCATCTCTATCCACTCTGGGTCTCCTAAAATTTCGGGAATGTTATCCCACAGCCAATCTGATTTAGGCATATAAGAGTCAGGTATTATTCACATAGGCTTCATGCAAGCTTTTACAAGATCCCGGCACCTTTAAAAATAAAAGCCATTTTAACTTGATTTCCAGGATAAAGTATGAGGAAAAATAAATAATAAAAATAAATATAATAGTTTCCATTACTAAAGTGCAACAAATGGATAACAATAGTATAGGAAAGCTCTTAAACGTTGAAGATTGACAAATTTCAACTGGCAATGTGTTCCAGAAGCAGACAAGTGAAAGGGTTTTCATATTCGCACACTGTTGGTATGGTTAAAAACATGATCTCATTACTGTATGTATATAGAACAGACTGCCTAAATTAGCTCTGACAGCCATACCTGATTAAAATATGCTGTAGAAAGGTCCACCCAGCAATTAGATAGGACTAACATGAACTCTGCTATGTGCTATTCCAGAAAAGCCTATGAGCCTGAGTGTGTAAGCAACATGACAGTTTCTTCTTATAAAGAAGCATAGATTTTGAACAGCAGAGCAAATATGACACTGCCTTCTGGTGAATGGTCAACTCTTTCTTAACTTTGAAGGTGCAAAATTGGGTGAAAGCTGGTAGTTAACATTTGTAGCCTATATTCAAAGTTTGAGGAAGGCAGGGCTCTATTGGAATCTGTGAGATCAAAATGTCCCCAAATTCTAGGCCATTCAAGCCCAGATGGGTAACTTTGCTGAAAGAGCAGACTTGGGCATCATTCACGGAAAGCACACCAAACACCCTGAAATAGCAAAATAAAATAGTACGTGTTAGTCCCTGTTATCTCTTTCACCTCAGTCCAAAAATACTAATGGCACTGGCACACAATAGTGTGCCCAAACTCACTTGCCAAGAGAGGGGTAAAAAAAAAGTAGGGAAGATTTGGCGTCTCACTTGCCTAAGAAGATCTGCATAAGATTATGGGCTCCTTCAGATATAATCATCTTAGCTTACACCATCTTTACAGAAAAGTATTAGTTTCTTATTGCAGGATGCTGAAAAGTGCAAAGGAACAGGTTTCAAAACCATAATCTTACAGGGAAAGTGGAACACGATAAGGACAGCAGAAGCCCCCACAGGATCCTTCACAGACAGAACTTGGCCAAGGATATTTCTTCCCCTCTCATAATTCCCTTCTTTTTTTTTAAAGCTGCCTACTTTGAATGAGTCCTTGCTTTCTTGAGTCTTCTCCTTATTTTAGCAGAAAATATTACTATAAAAACAATTCCTGAAATATGTGAACTCTGCCGACAATATTGTTCAGCCTATCAGGGGGAAAAGGAGAAATGAAAAATACTTGCCTGCCTATAGTGCCATGGTGCCACCATGTGGTAAAGGCAGTGAAAAACTGAGAGTATGTTGGTTTCTTTCAGCAAACTGAATTTCTGTGATCCAATATAGGTTCATATTGCTTTTATTTCCAGGAATATCCGTGGACTGTAATTTTCTCAATAAGTATTTCTATATTGTTCTATCTATAACAATAGGACACAGAATCCAAAGAAGGAGCTTCATGGTCAGAAACCCTATTATCAGTGTTCAAATAATGCAATATCCAGTTGCATTTTGATTTCCAAAATGGCTTTTAATCCCATAGGGGTTGCAAAACCATTTGTTGAAAAAAAAAAAAAAATCTGTGGATGGCTATAGCTCTCTAATTTGTCTTGAAATATACTAAGGACTAAGGAGAAATTTTCTAACAGTAAAAACAATTAGTCAATGGAACAGCTTGCCTCCTAGAGTTGTGAGTGTTCCATCGCTGGAGGTTTTCAAGAAAAGACCGGACATCCATTTGTCCAGGATGGTATAAGGTATAAGGTATAAGCGGTATATAAGTCTCATAAATAAATAAATAAATAAATAAGGTCTCCTGCAATGGGCAGGGAGCTGGACTAGAAGACCTCCAAAATCCCTTCCAGCCCTATGATTCTTTGCTTTCTCAATGCTTGAAACCATGTGGCGCACAACATGTTTTGTCACTATGCTCTTTTCCAGTTATTTCAGTTCTGAAGCAAATAGCTGATACTCAGCAATGCTTCCTGTGCTCTTATCCCCAAAGCCTTTTGCTCTTTCTGAGATTCATCACCACCATCATCATATATGGATTCATGGGATAGTATCCCAGAAGAGAAACTAATTCAATCTTATTTACTGTTACCTGCTTTCCTGGCTAAAAAAATTCCAATGTACTATCAATAAACTACACTATATTTGAACATAGCAATCTCCAAGGCCTCAGATGATTTGCAAACTCATATATCGTCCCAAAACAAAATTATTACACAATTTATTCATTACCACTACCATATGCAAATGACAATATTATATCAAATACAATTGGCAACCTTTAAAATGCCATTAAATTCTATGCTGCCTTTTCTATAGCAAACTAAAATGATTCTTCTTTGGAATTCCATTAAGAGATGTAACCATGTAATGAATTAAGTTTTCTTTTATAACCAAGATTCTCAACAATGAAGGGCATTAATTCATAGCATCTCTGTAAAAGCAAGTAATCTAAATAGCAAATGCACACCTAAAAAATACAGTCCATAAATCAAGTTGTTAGACTTGTAAAAGTTCGGGAATGAATGCCTTGGCAAGCTTCAGTATCATATACTCTACTTCAGATGTTCAACTAGGTAGAAGTCTTAGAAATACTGCCTGCCATTGGATATTAGGCCTGAATGTCCTTAGAAGCAGATTTCCCTCTTTCATTGCCAGGAACGTTCTGGCAATGAAAATAATTCCTTTCCAGGTGGGAGAACATTGATGGTAAAGAGCAGTGTTTTTTTTGTAAAAAGAAAAGGTGCTGGAACTCACACACGTCATACAACCCGCCTTGCCTACCCCACAAGGTTCCATCCAAAAAAGGTGCCGGAACTCTGTTCTGGGCATTCTATGACAAAAAAAGCCCTGGTGAAGAGAAAACTGGGCTATCAAACTGGATAAAAAAGAAGATACTGCAATAGTGGGGGAAAAAGAAGTATGTGCGCTGATTAACCTGGAACTCAAAGCAAATGCTGCTTAATAAACTGTTCTGGTATGAGAAAAGGAAGAAATACACAGGACTGTAGCAATAAAATATACAGGAGTGAAGCAATTTGTGGTATGCTCCACATTTCTTCAAAAATCCCACCAATAAAAGTGAAGCTTAAAGAGATTTGAGGCTTTATTTTTTTAATAAGAAGATTTATGTCTACCCAACTCACAGTGACTTTGGGTGGCCTACTTTAATTGTCCTGATTTACTGTAAGGCTGATACTCATCGTTGTTAAAATGATTGAAGATAAAAAAAATTAAAGAAATTGTGATATACTGAAAACTTGGAATTTATTAGTTTATGAAGAACTTTGGATTTATCAAGCTTAAAGTAGAGTCACGAACATGATTTTGCTTTCTTGGAAAGAAACTGCTACTACAGACTTAAAATCTGGACTGAAGACATGGCTCACTCTCAGTCTTTCAACTGGTTCGTTATTAACACAATGGAAATACTGATTAATCAATATGATTCTGTAAAGACAAGATTTGATTTTCTTGTTTAAAATCTGTTACGTGTGCATGTGTGGACATGCAATTTATGTGTTCCTTTTCTTTTTCCTATTTTTTATTACTTTGTGTTTTGTAGAAATAATTTTGTTAATTTCTTCTAGTTTGTTGTTCACTATAGTAAGTTTTTTTTAAAGGTAACCTCTTTGGTTGATTTTTACTTCTGGCTACCTAATATGCACATCTATTTAATTATTTTTGATAAGCTGAGAAGGGGCAGTGCCAGCTAAGTGGGAAGTGTGGAGCATTAGTCTACTCAGGCCCTGCTGGCTGATCATTAGAAAGGAATGCAATGCTGCAAGTTAAAGCATGGATCTTGCTGGTACTTGTGGATCTTGTCTTGACTGCCAGTTGATTTCAGACACTAGTATTTGATGTTGGCAGTTGCCATTTTGACAGCGTGTTTATTTTATGGAAACCTGAACAAGCTAGCAGCAGGTGCAGACAGGACTTTCAAGCTAGGTGTTGGCCATGTGCTAGGTACAGTGTTTCTCAACCTTGACAATTTTAAGGCATGTAGACTTCAACTCCCAGAATTCCACCGCCAGCAATGCTGGCTGTGAAATTCTGGGAGTTGAAGTCCACATGCCTTAAAATTGTCAAGGTTGAGAAACACTGTGCTAGGAGATCTGAAACTAAGGATATGAAGCTGTTTCCAGTTCATGGGCTCTCTACCTGGACTTTTGCTACCCAGATGTTTTGTATATCTGGCTGTTCCAAAGAACAGTTTGGAAGTATCTGCTCCCCTGCCCTAATAGTTTAGTCCTTTCACATCACCTGGATTGAGAAGTGTGGTTGCTGAACTTCCTCAGCATCAATCCCATAGAAGCCCTTTTTGCCAGAGAGAACTAAGAAGCCGTTAAGTTTTATCTTTGGGGCAACTGGGCTATTCTATGAATGAGGACCAGAATGTTTTATAGGCAGTAATTTGTTGAGGGAAATGCCTGAAAATCATATAAATCTAAAGATCTTTGTTGAAAGTCCTTACATTAGGTTCAGCTTCTTATTGGACAATGGAAGGTGCTGGTTAGGAAGGTTAGGAGGAATTATGAAGGAATGGAATGTTGAGCAATGAACATATGGTAGGAGACTGAGAATGGACCACATTCAGGAAACAGAAGTTTGACATTTGGAATTTTTTTGTGATTTCCTCTTCCAGCTTTCATACCAGGTGCTCAGGGCTCCAATTGCTGCAATTTAATGATATCTGTCTATAATGATTTTCCTCATCCATGATTTCATTATTAATGAAAGGGCAAACCTAGTTTGTATCTCCCTAGGTAGGGTATTTTTTCTATAGGAAATATATCTACTCAGGTTTAGATTTGACATTAGCCACAATTCTGGAGCAGGGGAGGGAAGTGAATATTGTAATTTATAAGGCTCTATTGATGCCAACAGAGATAGCAATGGATTTCCAGTGATTAATAATGTTGGGGAACATCATCTTAACTTTCCTAGACTTGGAATATGAAATGGCCCAGGAGTTCATAGCCATGAACAACCATGGACTTGGCCATGGGACACATATCTGGGTTTTTTGTTTTGTTTTTTGCCTTAGGGCAGATGTGACATACCTTGAAACAGTGGGGGGAGGGGCTTTGAACTTCACCCTTTTTCATGGACAGATCACTCTCAAATTGCCATGGAATTCTACAATGCAACCCAACCAATGTGGTGGGAAAGAACTTACTGTATTAGATTGGTCTGCAAGTTTTCAAAAGACTCTTTGGGAGTTTCCCAAGATTCTGGCAGACAACTCAGCTAAGGCTTTGGCTGCCCAAAGATATAAAAGGATGTCCAAGGTAGGAATTCAGTTAATTCAGAGCAGCCTCCTCCTGTTTGCATATACATATTGCAGCCCCTTACTTTACTGAAGAGTTTAAGAAGATGAGTGCCAGAGGAGATGCCTGGAATATTATTAAATGAAGATCCATCTTGAGTCTGACAGAACACTAGCAGAAGCATAAGTTAATGCTCATACAGTAGTAATTCAAACAGTGCAAAAACTCTTATTGCATCCACCAAATGCTATTCCTTGATCCTTTTTAAGATGATCTGTTCCCTTTTTTTAGGGAAGAATGTTCACAAAGTCCATCTGAAAGGACTCTGTGATGTTTTCACAGCATCTATCAGTTGAGATGTTCACACTATTGACGATGCCAATGCAGATGATTATGGCCTCATCTTGTGAAATTTTATGGAATCATTTTGAGACTGTTATGTCTTCATGAAATTACAATGATAGCTTTGCTACTCTCACTTGTATCTCTTTCCCTTATGGTTGGTCATGGCTTTACATGAGGTGATGGGTTGGATCAATATTTGTCTGAGAATATGTTTCGCTCATATCTGAAAAAGGCAGCAGTCAGACCGCAGTCAGAAAATTTTGCTCAATCCAATGTTGGATCGTTATAGACCCGTTTCCTCTCTTTCCCCCCTGAAATATTGTTGAAAAAGTGGTTTTCCTACAGCTGCAAAGGATCCTAGAGGCAATAGACATGGACTCATATTTGTCAAAGTTCAAGCCAGAATACAGCATGGAAACTTTGGGCTTGTGGATGACTTTTGGATAGACCAGGATCTGGACTTTATAATCCTTCTTGAATTTTTAACATCTTTTGATACCATTGACCATGATAGTCTTCTGAACCATCTCTGTTCTGCAGTGGTTCCTCCTTCCAGAAGGATAGGTTGCATTTGGTGGCAGGGGAAGATCTACCCACAGAACTCTTTGTGGAGTGTCTCAGGGACGTCTCCTCTATCCACTCCTTTTTAATAACTCTATGAAACTGCTGAAGGAAGTCATCTTCTGTAATGGGGTTTGGTATCACCATTATGCTGAAGTTATCTAGTAACAGTATATATTGTGTTTCAAGGCCAAGCAGATGACACTATGGAAGTTGCCTACACAACCAGATCAAATAGGGCCATTTGCTTCAAATCCTATCTATATGAGATTGTCCCATAATGGAGCCTCAGAAGCAGATGTTCTCAGTAGTTATCTCCACTCTTTGGAACTCCCTCTTAGTGGGAGGGGGTAGATCTCTCCCCTGCCACCAAATGGAACCAATCATTCTGAAAGGAGGAAACACTGCAAAAGACAGATGGTTCAGAAGGCTACCATAATCAATGGTCAAGACTTCAGGAAAGCTTTAAAGACCTATTTGTTCATTCTTGCAGAAGAGAAGACCAGAACTGCTGGCCTGTATCTGTGGATGTTTTTAATTTTATGCTATTTACTTATTTACATTGATTTAAAGTACACCTTACTCTAGATACATAATAAAAAATATAAAGTCCAGATCCTGGTCTGTCCAAAGGAACAATAAAAAGAAATAACTGTTATGCATCCAGAAAGACTATAAAACACATGCCACACAAAACATACAGGAACTTACCCGCTACCCTGCCCCAATAGTCAAGTGTTCAATGATGTTATGGAACATCATCAGAATAGGAGCCATACATATTTCTGGGAAATACTATTCCAGAGCACAGGCACCACCACATAAAATGCAGAAGGCATTTTATGTTCATATTGTTTATATCTTTTAGACTGGTGAGAATAGGTGGCCTATAAGCAGTGTAATTTTATAATACCATAACTGATATTTATTATTATTACATTTTTATTATGTCTTTTATATAAAAATTGCATAATCATGCTGAATATATCCAGATGTGATTTCCAAGAAGCTAAAATCAAGTTATTGCTGCAATGGAGAGACTCCAGCCAAACTGTAGAAACTGAAGATAACAATAAACACTTACATTTTTTCAATGAGCTCTTTCTCATCCAAGGCACCAACCAGATCTCGCTTGTTCCCAAGAACTAAGACCTGCAAAAGAGAATAGGGCTGTGCTCTTAGTCTGATACGTGCAAGCTACAAAGATCTATGGAACAGTCTGAAGTGACTCCATTGTTCATACGAGATATATCTTGTGCACCAGTGTTTTCAATACACTTTCTGAATTCAAGAATTTCCTTTATAATCCAGGGAAGTCTGCCAAGCATGAAGTTGGAAAAAACACAATTTGGCTTGAGAGAGAAAAAGATAATAGGAAAGCTGTCTCTACAAATATTTAAAATACCAATTTCTAAAATGCTATATGGACTTTATAAAGCCATATATAAAAGAAGCAAAACACTGCATTGCTTTAAGTCGAAATGCAGATATGAATAACAATATTAGCCATGTAAAATAATTTAAGGGTTCACTTGGAAAGACATTCATGGGAAAAATCAAATACTAACAGAGGGTATTTGATTAATCTTTAAATGTATTCCCTGGGGGTAGCCAGTACATCTTTTGTAACCAACAAACAGAAAGTTGTCTAGTGTCCAGATATGCTATTAAAACCTAGCTACCCAAAAAAGTATCTGCTTTTCTTTGCAATTACTTCACCCTTGGCAATGCTCCCTATGGGCTAGTTCAAATGGCAACTTGCTGATTGATAACTGTTTTTTCTTTTAAAATATTAACTGGACCCTACACAATTCTTGACTTCCTAATTTTCAGGAGCTATTGTCATTAAGATTTGGACCATGAAATTCTCTCACAAAGACATCTACCTCCCATTTATTTTGCTAAAGACCATACTTCCACTGGTGTAAAAGTTGAAGAATCTGGCAAGCAATGGAAATTACAGATTTTTTAAAAAGCAGCATAGTGCATTTCTGTGTAGAAGCTGGTTTAAAGAAAGGAGTGAAATGACCTTCTCCATATAACTGCAAATATGTGTTACATATTTACATTTTTGCCTCAAATAAGCTATTTCATTGTCTAAAAAAATGAAAACTCTGGGGAAAGGATTTTAATCCATAGAAGGTAGAAACACTTGGAGCTGCACTTTATCTTTACAGGGTATGCAATAATACAGTGTGTTATTTCTATCTTCTATCTGAACAGTAGCCAGTGGGAGCACCTATCGAACTCTGGCTCTATGTCAGCCTCTGTTAGTACTTGGATGGGAGACCATCAGAAAGTTCCAGAGCTATAGGCTAAAGTGGAAAAAATAAAAACATTCTGGAAGAAAGATAGCAAGCTCTTTCGTTACTACTGCCAAGAAAACTACAAAATTATATTTAAACAGCCATCAAAAGCTGAGCTCCACTTGAGAAAATATTTAACTGTGGATGCGCTAAAAACTAAATATTATTTACATTATAAAACTTCAGCCTTACTTTCTAGGAGCTAATTGTGTAATATTTTTCTTTTTTGCATTTCAAACAAGAGGGTCACGCCTATCTCCTGCAATGTCAAAGGTATATTCTGCCCTTTACTTACTTTTCCAATACAGTCCTTCCATAAAACCGTATACATCCTAGAAAGAAATATCTCAGCACCATGTGGAATAGTCATGAAAATGAGAAATAGTTGGTTCCAAAATCTAGTCCTATAGTTTCTGAGAATAAATTACATTGAGATTAATTTTTTACTCAATCCGTCATATGGATTAACTTGTATATGTTTAGCCTTTCCAGAACTGGATAAACTTACAGGAATGCCTTGGAGTTGTGGTTTATCAAGCAAGTTGTGCAGTTCATTCTTTGAAGCTTCAATCTTCTCCTGATCTGCAGCATCTACCATATATCTAGAATGAAACAACACATTACTACTGAGCTGGAAAGGTGACAGAAGCACTGCAGATGACAGCCTAAGATACTATGTAGGAGCCTAATACAACATTAGCTAACCAGCCCCAAGCAAACAAGATGGATACTTCTGAAACTTTATTAGTCTCATTAACTGACTGGTTACAAAACTTTGGGTGTGGGCAACATCTTTATTCACCTTTTTCTGTCCATACCTTAGGAAGTACTTACTCTCCTAGAGATACTGGGATTCTAGTGCTACAAATATGCACTGCAGGCTTCATTTTGTGTGTAGAAGTGCTTAGGCAGGGTTGAACATACTTTGAAATGAATGTATTAGAGATGCTTCAGATCTCACACAACACCTCTCTGCTATTTATCAAAGCAGCCAGTCTCCATCACAGCTTTAAGAAGTCCATTCTTAAAGCAGCAGCATAGAAAAAAAAATAGAACTTGTTGAATGAATAAGAGAGAAGTGCCATACTCATGCAAGATCAGAAAGCACTTCCTTCTCAATCTTTTCTAAAGCATGCACAACTCTACTGTTGGACACATTTGTATAATCTATATTCATATACATTTGAAGATTTCTTTCATTAAAAAGTGCAAATGACACAAAAATGCTATACAGTGTAGACAGGATATTTGTCAGAGATTCTTAATCACATCTTAGTAAGAAATTACTAAAGATGTTAAATTTCTTAAGGTTTAGGAAAAAAATAACAGCAGAGAATGAAGGCAAGATTTTAAACTATTGATTCTGTTTATAGATACATTCAATATAGATGAAATTTTGAATTCTAAGAGTCATTTATTATCAGCTACTTAAACTTCCAAAAAAATATAACTTTTGCCATTATTTAGGCTTCAACTCTTACTACATCTTAACAGTTTCCTGAATTTGCCCATCTTTCTACCTTCATTGGATCATTCTGATTCATGACCCTTTTCAGAACTGCAGCCACCAACACCCCAAAGGAAACTGATAAGGTCTTGAGTAATTCAAGAGTCAGTTAATCTAACTGTTGATTGCACGCAGCAATTTCATTCACCACAGGTGAACTTACATCTATATTCAGTTATTCACTAAACAAAATGTGCTAGGCTAGTTCCATTTAAAAAAAAAAAACAGCAGGAAGCAAATATAGGACAATGTCTGCAGATTTTCTAGATTCACTTTTTTTGTTATAGAAAAACATGAAAACATGTTATAGAGTATTCAAGCAGAATTCAATAACAGAATCCTGAAGTACAATATACAGTACAACATTTTCAACTAAGGTGAACTCAACCCATTTGAGAAGCAGCCCAAAATCTGGTCTAAAGAAAACAGAAACCAAGACATTTTCAGAAATAACGATATATAAACTATCAATATTAATATCAAAGAATATGCTAGATACCAAATGCATCTTTAGGCTTACCCGTATAATACTTAGCATGCAGAATGTATTTTCTTGATTATGCTATTTTATTCAGTGCCACATACTGTATACTAATATCTATTGCATCAGGGATCAAAGCTCAGTTTGGCCCAGAATCCAGATTCAGCTCATTTACTTGACAGCAAGAGGATAGTGGATTATTTTGTAACATTAGCCAATATATGTGGACAAGGGCACAGAATGCTACCTACTAGCTGGCCTATATGGAAAGAGAGGCACCGGCAAAACAAAGCTAATCCAGTATGTACTTTGCAGAAGCAATGGAAGGATTGGCCGCTACTGGAGGTTGCACTCACTGATAAGGGGTGAAATAGAAGGACTATGGGTAAAGATGCAGCTTCACAAAAGAGTAGTCTTGAACTGGATACTGTTCCGTTATATGGATTTCAATTCATAGAATTCCTGTCAGCATTACTATAGTTGAAAATAGTGTGAATTAAAATTGTCATACAGGAAGGATGCCTTGATTCAGGAATACTGATATAAAACATCACATGAATGAATAGCAATACATGTTTCTGACAAAAAAGTCCTTTAGAGATAATTAGAAGTAATCCATGGAAATGCAGGGAAGAAACAAATCTTCTTCTTCTTCTTGTGCCATATCCGTTATCGGACGTTGGCAATCCTGTTGGTGATCCTGTTTTTATCAACAGCCGCACGAAAAAGTGCTGTTGAGTTTTGTCCAACATTAGATTTTGAAGCCACCATGTTCTTCTTCTGTCTGGATCTCGTTTGCCTTCAATCTTTCCTGGAGGATTAAATGGAGTATGCCGTATTTTTCTGGGTGTCGCATCACATGTCCAAAATATTCTAATTTTCGTTTTTTAAGTGTTTTGATGATCTCCTTTGGCTTTCCCAGGCGGCTTATCACCTCCTCATTTCTGATCTTGAAGAAACAAATGCCAGCTCTTTATTGGACTACATCATTTTCCTCCTATCTCTTTCCTTCCTTCCCATCTAGCAGGCTAATAGAAGAGAGGCAGAAATAGCTGGTTAGATGACCATTCCTACAGTATTATTCTGAAGAGATTAATCTCATGCGTGTGTGTGTGCGCGCGCGCATGTGTGTGTTTGTAGCTTTTTGAATTTGAAGGGAAAAAGTGATTTGGAACATGTGAAAATGCTCAAATGTCACCTATCTGGAACTGTTTAACACATCTGTATCTTTCCTAAGAGAACCTGGCTGCCCTCTACAAATGAAATGCAATCTTAGAAAAGATATACTGCCTCTGAATTTGGAAGGTGGCACAGCCCTACTATAAGCATTCATGCATAAAGAAAACACAATTCCACTTTATCTGGATTGAGATTCAACAATGGCATTTCCTCTAATTCCAATCTCTGTCAAAAATTAGAAAACTTTACTTTTTTTTTCTAAATTGAGATGATTCCCTTTTTGCATATATATCTTGCTGCAATCAACATATATAATCAAAGTTCCAATTTTCCCCCAGGTCTTTAGCTACAGCAGCAGTTTCCAAAAAAACTCCTGTAATCTGGTATAAACCTAAGTTTTCAAAAATTCTTCATAATTTCAATGCATATACTTGAACCCTCTGATTCACCCTTGGCATGAAACAACTGCTCCCCATTTGCCAATCCTAATTTCCTAATAAACTCTTTAATGAAAACCCCAGGAGTTATCCCAAGAATTAGGAAACATGTTATATGTCTTTGGAGCTGAAGTTTCTCAATAAGTTTTTGAAAAATGCAAACTCTGATAGCGTCTACCTCTATAGCTCATATTCTATCTTTTTAAAGCTACTTATATTATTGAACTGGGTATACATCTGTGCAAACAATTCCCCTTTTCTAAAAATATGATGTAGCAACCAGAGCAAAGTATACTTTTTGAAAATATAATCTGAGGAAGAATCACCACTCTATGACACAGTGTTCCTAGTTAAAGACATTGGGTAACAGGTCACAGGAAAGAGCTATTAATTCTGCCCTACAATTTTTAATTATTATAATACAGTGCTGGTATTGATGAAGATTCTAGTGCTGTAAAAAAAGTAGCTTGGAAAGATTTCTAGAAATGCTTGAGAGGTCTGAAGTAGAGAATTTGAGAACTACATGGAACTTTAGACTGAGTCTTGGAAAGAGAATTTCATTAGCTACTTTCTGCCCCCCCCCCCAAAAAACAGAATAAAGTTGTTCTGCCTGCCTACCACAAGAATCAGTGAGATTTTATGAAAAATAGCATTAAAAGGAACAAAGCAAGATAACTTTTCTGAAATGGTAAAATCTGCAGTGGTCTGTAAGAACTTGGCCCTATAACCTATCATCAGATCTTGAATTAAATGGAAGCCTGAAGAAGTTTCTCTCCTGCAGCATTAATGCCTCTTAATAGAGTGTATAAGCAACTCTTTGTGTCAAAGTATTCCAATACAAAAGTGGTTTCTTCATGCATGACACATGAAAACAGTAAAGATAAGAAAATACATCCAATGGTTACAAGAATATTCTGAATTATGGGAGCTTAGAGTTAAATATTAGGATTCCATAAAAAATGTCCTATAAAGAACACAAATCACCCCTTTGTATTGGTGTATCAAAGTATCCATGGAGTAGGGGAAGTTATGTCAAAAATATTACTGGGCAAATGATGTACATTATTCACTATATGTGATATATGTCACCATAACATGCACAATGTTATAATGTTATGTCTTTATTATATTTCTACTTGATGCCTCTGTGGTGTGTCAATAGATATCACTATGAATGTATATGAGAAAAATCCAGCAGTTATATCAGAATGAGACTTGAAAGACTTAAGAACAGACTCTTATATTATTCCAAGGTCTATTATTATTACGCATACAACTAGTGCAAAGGACCGAGGAACATTTTCAACATTAGTATCATTTAATTCACTCAAAATATCTTAACATTAACAAACAGAATTTGCTTGCAGAAAAGACATTAAAAATACCGGTAGTTGATATGGAAAGTGGAATGTAAGTAGTCCTCACTTAATGACAACTCATTCAGCAACCGTGAAGTTATGATGGTTCTTGACAAATAGTTACAGCTTATCCTGTACAGCTTGGAGGGGAGTCATGTGATCAAACTTCAGGCGTTTGGCAATCCATCCACATTTACAACCATTGTTGCATTCCCCTCCCCCCCATCTCTGGCCTTTTGACTGCCCTGCACTCAGCCACCCAGCCCTGGCAGTGTCCCCAAAGAGTCATGATGCCTCTGCAGAACAGTCCTCCAGAAGTGCTGCCGAGGCTTTTCAGGGACAAAGCTGGGGCAAGAGTGAGCAAAGGGGTTTGTCAGTGTTGGGTTTGCTTTATCCCCCACTGAAACCTGTAAGCTGGTTCTCTAGAAGCTCTTATCACAAAAACTGCAGAGTGTACACTGTGACTCCTGGAAGTCGTCATCCTTCCGCTGCCTCAACTCCAAACAGCGTCTCCTGCACAGCTGCCACCTTCACCTGGGGAACCGCTGCCACCTCTCCTGCCTCACCCATTGATAGAGAGCACCTCACTTTGATGTTCCCAAATTTTGATTGCAGGGGCGCGGCAATGACCAGAACTTTT